AAAAAAAAAAAAACCCAATAGTTTCCCACAAGTGGGGTTTAGGGAGGTAGGATGTAGTAGCCTTACCCCTACCCCGGAAGGCAGAGAAATTGTTTCCGATAAAGGTAATTGCAACAAGTAGGAATAACAGCAAGATGAAATCTGATCAAATCCAAGAATGTAGTCAAAACTCTAAATAGTAATAGTCATCTATGGATAAAAGATATCATACTAACACTAATACTAGCGAGCTGAGTAAGACAAAGAGAAACGCTCGACTACCTGCGAACCTTCTACCCTAATCTTTGACCTCCACATCCTCCTGTCTAGGGCCATGTCCTCAGCCAGCTCCAGCTGCGCCGTGTCCCGCCTAATAACCTCTCCTTAAGACTTCTTTGGTCTACCTCTACCCCTCTCCTACCCGCCGAGGCTAACCGCTCGCACCTTCTAATTGGGGCTTCTATACTTCTCCTCTTAACATGTCCGAACCATCACAACCTCGCCTCTCGCATCTTATCCTCTACAGGGGCCACTCCCAGCTTTTTTCGAATAATTTCATTCCTAATCTTATCCAACCGGGTATGTCTGCACATTCACCTCAACAACCTCATCTCAGCTACTTCTCTGGCTTCATAATGTAATTTCCTTATTTCCATAACTGAAATCAAGGTGAGACAAAATCTTGGTACTTTTTCCCTCACACTAAGTCCATGTTTGCAACAAATTAATACATGAAACCTTAATGTTAGCCTCAGATTTGCCTACTACTCCCCATTTTCCAGGAAATGCTCTAACAAAAGTTTGTTTTGCAGGTTGTTGTGTAAGTACTTCTGCCTTATAAATACCCTTGTGGTGTAACAGTATAACATCATCACTCAAATCAAAGTCTTTACTTAAAGAAATTAGCTAAAATGGTAGCTCCAAAATGGTCTTTCATTTCTTTTATGATTTTGCTAAGCTTAGCAATATGCTCTGGCCAGCCTGTTACCTTTGATGCAATTAAGGCTAAGGAAGCTGATCATGACAACCTCAAAGCTCACACTCTAAGTAATATCGACACCAAAGGCTTTGGAGGAGGCGGTGGATTTGGCATTGGTGGTGTTTGGGCCGGAGGTGGTGGTGGTGGTGGTTCTGACGCCCCTAACTACGGTTATAACCCTGGCTGCAGTATCCGTGGTTGCACTGTCCCTGGCTTTGGTTTCCTACCTAATCCTGGTTTTGGTGTTCCAGTCTATTCCCCTGGTTGTGGCTATGTGTGTCCAGCCGATATTTCTGCTGAAGGAATGACTGAATCCAAAATCACAGGAATATCAGAATCGGCTAGACCATATCGATGCAGGCCTGGGGCAAATATGTGTGGCAGTAAAGATTGTAATGAGCTTCTCCTACACTTTGTTTTCCCCATGCAAGACAAACATGAGAATAAACAAGAATATCTAAGATATGGAGGACGTCGAGGTATAGGTCTCAGTGTGAGTGAATCTAGTGGTTTTGGAATTGGTTTTGGTGCTCGGGGTGGTGGTGGTGGCGGCGGAGGAGGGGGTGATTCTAATGCCCCTGGCTTTGATATCCCCGGATTTAACCCCGGCTTTGGCTGTCCCTCGGGCTGTGGTTATGCATGTCCTGCCAACAATCCTAGTGGAGGAATAACTGAATTCCATATCTCAGGATTATCACGAAACAATGGACCTTACAGATGTAGGCCAGATATGTGTGAGAGTGAAGATTGTAATGAACTTCTACTACACTTTGTTTCTCCAAAGCAACACAAACACGAGAACCGACATGATCATACAGTAGAAAGAAATGAAGAGGAGGAAGCTCATCATCAGTCAAAGCATCATAAAGACGAAGACATCATAAACTAGGCACTCCAAAAACCAAGAAAAAGAAACTATATATGTGTAACTTCAGCCACAAAACTGTATGCACTGTCTAAGAATTTACTCACTTCCAAGGAACATAAATAAAACTAGCTTACAGTGGATTGGGATATAAGAAGTTGGACTATTTGCTAAACCTGCTCATTCACTGTAAAAATAGACTTGCTAATAGTATTTTGAATATAATGCTGAATATATTTGTTGTTACTTTGTAATGTCATTCAACACTGAGCAATTTCTCAGTAGTTAGAAAGTGGAAGGAAGAAGCAGGAACTTGGGAGGTCGCTAATCGACTGGTCATGTGGACTTACTTTGTGAAACTAACTTCTCTTCAAAAAAATTCTCACCTCTAAAATTTTCTGTTTAGCTTCACTTATCTATAGCTGCTATATTTAGAAAGGAAAACAATGAACCTCTTATTTAAAGGATGAAATAATTTAAAGATCGCAAATTTATGTCTTTAATCTTCTAAGAGGAAACTAATCTACAGGAATCCAGCATTTGATTTATCAAATTAAGGAAGCAAATTGAGAAAAAATGAGATGAATGAACATAGTGCTGAAAGATATTGATAAGATGATTGGATTAATTTGGTTGCAGCAACATATGATTTTAGATTATTTCAATAAGATGGCCATAAAGTAGCATATCATTTGTGATTTAACATTATTACACTCAACTCGGGAAGATTGTCAATTTACCCCAAAACAAAGTTTTAAGCCTTCAGTCTCCTTCAACTGCAGTGGCACCTGCCCAATTGGCAGCACTTCCTCGGCGTGGAATGCTGTGGAGTTTGGTGTACAAATCCACCTGGAAAATCACAGCATTGATGTTTCCTTCATCATCTTCGCGTGCAATTGCTTTTACTTTGTGCAATGGATGATCAAAGCTTATTAGCCCAGTGTCACTTATGAAGATACATCCTGTTCAATCAGCTTTATACATTAAACTCTGCTTTATATCCGAAAAATATTGAATCAAACTTGAGGATATGATTAAGAAACCTGGAGGAAATGGGGTATAGAATTTCCCACAAGAAGCTTGAATGAACTCTGAATCATCCGAACATACTAATGACCCATCTGCAGCGGTTCCCCAGTGTAACGGCACACATCCATCACGATCCTAGATTGTTTTAGAGCAACATTAAGTTTATCCTTAAAAAGGATTCAAGTTATATAGATTGACAGTATACAGATTTTTTTAGTGTAGTTTAACATGTTATAGAAGGTTTGTTACCACTTTTACTTGGTTACCAACTAATGCTTATCATAGAGATTAACACGTACAACAACAACAACAAAAAAAACTTAGTATGGCCTCCCTATACAAAATCAGTATAATCCCACAAAGTGGGGTCTAGGAAGGGTAGAGTGTAAGGCTATTTCTATTAGACCTGGGCTCAAGGAAAAAGTGAAAAAGAAGCAGACACAACAAGTAGTAATAACAGCAAGACAAGGGGATAATGTGACAGGGTAATAGAATAATCAATGCGAAAGAACCATCATAGAGAAAAACATGTAATTACCTTATAAGTGACATGATTGCGTAAACATTTTTTATGTCATCAGGGCACAAAACTTAAATTCTTCTAAAAATACTATGTTGATCATGGCGTCTAGTTTTCTTAAACTTAAGTTTAATTAAACACACCAAGTTATCGATCATGGAAATGGTTAATATGAATGTTCAATAAGCTAAGAAAGAGATCAATTATGTGACAAGAAGCATTTGTAACTCACCCTGGCAAGAAAAAGAGTAGAAGCTTTTGAATCAAACAGAATGAAAGCAAATTTGCCTTCTAGTTCTTTGATGACTTGATCAGGAGGATATGGTGCCCGATCCCTTAAAACTTTGTAAGCTTCAACCATTATCATAGCCTCAGTAGCTTGTCTTGAAAGACCATAATGTTTTCTCAAATCAAAAGTGTTATCTAAAGCCCCAGAGAAGATGCAGAAGACATCATCCATCACAACAATAGACCTGATGTAAACAAAACAAAACAAGCTCAGACAAATTCATTTTTTAGTCACCTTTCTATTGCTTCAATCTTGAAATACAATACTAGTTTTCAAGAAAAGTTCTCCCTTTTAATCAATGTGCCCATAAAGAAAAAACAAAACATAGGTACTATTACTAGTACTAAGCATCAATACCTTGGCTGTAGAGGGTTTTCATTTCCATGAGAAAAAGCCATGAAATTCCCATTGAAAAGGTGGTAAAAAGTTGAGTCTGGCTTCCATGTTTTGAAACTTTCTGCAATCTCTTCCCTTGTTTTAGCCTCCTTTTTCTGCCTACTTGCTTGAGGAAGACTCAACTCTGGAGGTGGCTTACCAATGGATTGCTCAAACACAGCCAACATGTTTGGACAAAGTAAAAGCTAAAAACTTTTCAAGAATCCCAATCCAATTTTTTTTTCAAGAACCATAAATATCCCAGGAAAGCACATTCTAGGTACATAATATAGAAGACTTGCAGCTGACATGCTTATCCAAAGGACTGTTGTAACTGAAAACAAAGTACTGACGTGGCATCAACAATGGTGATAGTACATCTGTCACATTCTCCTTTGTTCAAGATGGTATTACTTTAATATTCTATGGGCAAATAATTACTCTGGGAATTTGTAAACTAAATATCTTTATTTCTTTCATTGATGGGATAGATGTCTTGGAACATGGTTTTGAAGTACCAGAAAATATGATATACTAGCAGATTCAGGCAGGGCCGTATGTGGGTCAAGTGCGCACATAGCTATTCGGAGAGATGCTTTGCAAGAGATCAGTCAATATTTATTTTATATTAAAATTTTTTAAATTAAAAAAGTTAACTTCAGGATAATTCAAGATATTTTATCTTGCAAAATTAAACTAAAAAACTGAAATTCAGGATGCTAATTCTTAAATAATAACTCTTTAGAAGTGGTTATTTGGTGACATTTCTACGCCATACGTAGTGTGTTACCAACGGATTTAATTAAAGAGAATTTTTCATAAAGCACCATCTTTTTGGTCTAATTAGTCATTTATAGATACCCTTTGATATATTACGTGTTATAGATACCTTTTATGTTTTTATACAATGTATTTCATGTATTTAAGCTGTTGTATTTATTAATACAACAAAAAATATAGGCATAAAATCTGGAATTTCAGCTAAGTTTGACATGTATTTAGCTGTATTCAAGCGACATTAACATTAAATACAGTAACGTATTTGCGCTAAAAACGGAAGGAAATAAAATCACATGATATTCTCCTAATTTAACTCAACGAACTAAAACGATCCCTCATTAATCTGTATTTGAAAGATACATAATAAGATTATAGCTGAATAAAGAGAAATAAATATGAATAATACAGTTGAATACAACAAAATACACTTTAATTCATCTGAATAAAATACTTGATTACAACAAAAATACAACTGAATACAGCTGAATAAACTCTTGAATGCAACAAAATACAACTAGCTTCTGCTGAATGAAATAGTTGAATATAACTAACTACAACTGAATACAACTGAATACAGTTGTATAAAACACGTGAATACAACTAACTATTGCTGAATAAAATAGTTTAATACAACTGATTAAACCTGAATACAAGTGAATACAGCTGAAGAATACATTCGAATACAACTGAATACAAACAGGCGATTTGGGCGATCTAGAGAGAGAAACAGCCCTATGGCTTCGCCGACCGGCGGCCAGCCATTAATTCCGGCTGGTCAGCCCCCTAACACATCTACAAAAATTGAAAAGGTACGTGAAAAGGAATCTTTCCATGTTATCCTCTTGGCAAAGTCTTCGGGGATGTCTCCGAACAAGACACATTTGCCGCCGTCCGTGAAGCCTTTCGCCTCAGAGTCAATTTCTTTGATACTTCCCTGTACTCAATCTCTCTCCTTCTCCTCCTTTTCTTTGATAACAGATGCAAAGAGATATGTCACACTCACTGCATTGGACTCTTCCACATATATGTAATTGATGATTCTGATAGTTTAAGGATTGAAAATTGAGAATTTGGGTGGGAAAAGAGTTAAGAAACTAGAGTTTGTGGGAGAAGAGAGTCTGGTTGTATGCAAACAGAGAGAGATTGTATTGGGGTTTGCAGATATGCGTTAATTATGTGAGAGAAAATACAAAAAGGGAGAGAGAAAAATAATATTTAGTATATATGGTGCCTTAATTGTAGGATGTAACTATATTTAGATTTTTTGCTATAAAAGATAAAAGGTATTTATAGGATGTAATATTTTAAAATGGTATTTATTTAAAATAAATATGGTACTAAGGTTTTCTATAGGGTGTAAAAATTACTTAATTAAATCCATAATTTTTGATACGGAGTAAAACTTTATTAAAATTGCATAAATAATGGATATAAACCCATAATCTTAAAAATATAATAGATTCAATACTAAAATTTTTAAAAGTTAGAACTTTAAACATCAAATGTGCGTTTGATTTTAGATCATGAATATGACAGTAGAAACAAGCCAAGAAAGTTTTATCTAAATACAGAAGGCTGAAGCTAGCAGTATATGACTTTACGCACTTCGAGAAGCAGGTAATATTGGACTCTTCCAAATAATTGATCCACTCAAACCCAAAATTATTTGCCTATGCAATGAAGTCTCAGAAAGCACGTAATAATGCTATTTCAAGCTTTCAGTTCTTTCAATGGATGAAACTAATTAAGCTTTTTTTCAGTGGAGGTGGACGTCAAGGTATCTTTCATATATGCATTATTTTGATGTAACTTGACTAATAGGGAAGAGATATTAAGATAATGTAATTCCTGATTGAGACATTATTTGAAAACAGCGAAATCTGTGGGACAGAACCATTAGCAGAAATGAGAAAACAATTGTTTTTTGTTTGAAAGTTGCCCCTACAAACGATTATCCATTTTAATTTTCACATTGAAAGCTGCTCAACTAACTTGTAAGCAGTCCAAAAACTAATAAACCCACACCGAGTGTTGAATTAGAAATATTCAATAGAAAAGCTTTATCCCATTATATTGGAGAAAAGAGGGCAAGCAAGTTTTGGAAATACAGCAATTGATTTACTAGGCATTGGAGTTGGACATAAAAATTGTAATTTTTGAAAAAAAAATAGTATTTGATGTTAAGTTGAAAAAATGGTATTTCGAATTTAAAATTATGTTTGAACATGCATTTCACTTGAAAAAATATTGCAGCTTTGTGTGTGGAGAAAAACGTTTTTCTGAATTTTTTTAAAAAGTAGTCATTTTCAAAAAAATTAAAAAAACTGCAAAATTTAATGGACAAACACATTTTTGGAAAAAACAGAATTTTTTTATGGACAAACAGGGCCTTAGAGAACACTTCCGTGTTTCTTGGTTTTTAATAAGTGAGTGAGAGAGAGAACAAGCCCAAAGGATAAGCCTTTTTACAAGAGAATTGTCAGAAAAACACTATTCAGTGTGTATATTACCTTTTACCTGGGTTTGCAAAGTGTTTCATTTGATATAAGCAACTGTACAGCCATAATTCATAGGACTTTCCTGTTCAAACTTAACAACACGAGGATGATCTCTTAGTAATTTATGTGCAGATTCTTTTACAACCCCAGTTCCCATCCCATGAATAACAAAAAGAACAGAATTAGGCGCTCTTGAGTCAATAGCCATGTTGAGCTGGTGCGAAGCATCCTCCACTCTCAGGCCACGCAAGTCTATGGTGTTTTTAGATGTCTGCAGCACAGGGCCATAAGAATCCTGCTGATTTTTGCTTGCTTTAGAGAGACCTCCAAGGTCCCTAAGACTCCTGATCCGCTGAACCTACATCATAGGTCATGATTAACTTTTCTTCATTCCCCATAATTTATAGCAAGAGAGAACCAGCCTAGCATGAGTTCGTATATCAGATATATGTGAAACGCAACCTAGCTCACACGCGAAATTCTCAAGATACTCGTCTTTACTGAAACATGAAACTCCATTCATTTTATACACCAAGGCAGGCATCGAAGCTAGGCTTATAAGTTCCAAGCTCAACAGTGAATTGCCTAACTGTTATATACACTAAAAAACTAGCCTCATATGCATATGGTTGATAATCAATTTATGTTATCCCGTTTCTACCAGTCTCATTCGAATATTTAAGATTTTAGGTTTTCTGGCACTGCCGTTCTCTATGAGGCTAAATGACTCCTAGCAGAAATTGGAGCTAAAGTAGCACACCGCCATGACTAAATCTCAATCAAAACTAATTGCTATCACCTATATGAATCTAGATCTTCCATTGTACCTTACTTTTCGCTAAGTCAATGTGGAATCCAAGAGATTGTAGGTCTATAGAGACAACTTTCTTCCCTAAGATTTTAGGTCTACCTCGTTTCTTTAAAAACTTTCAATCACCAGTCTCATAGTGGTGCCTATGTTTCCATGCATGTGAATGGTGTATTATGTAGTATATGTATTTATATTTAAAATAGAAAGAGAGAGAAGAAAGAACTCAGAGTTGGCAAACCTGGGTTTTCAGGACAGCTGCACTGGAAGAAGCATCAGCGGGAATGGGTCTTATACTACGTTTGTCCACGCGGACTCTGATTTTCCCATATTGAACAAGGATACTGTCATCATCCCCAGGTTCCTCAACTACAGTGGCTAACTTATTTCCAAAGGCCTTCACATATACTTGTTCTCCAACCTGAGGTGTGTACTGGCTCTGGCCTATTTCTCTGAAAAGAAAATCTTTACTAGGCTGATGAGCTTCAACTATCGATGCAATAGCAGATTCAGCTTTTTTCACAAGTGGATTAATCTCGTCAGCACTTGCATTTCTGAGTTGGCTCTCAAACTTCTCTACTATAGTGTGGATCTCATTTTTCACAGTCCTCACTTCCTGTTGGATTTCATGCGTTTCCTTTGCTTTGATAGCTGCTTCACGTCCCTCTAGATCTTGTGCTTCCTTGTTGATCTTCATTGCATGAAAAAGGAAAAAAGAAAATACTGAAGATTACAGGAAATTCAAAATAATGGTTAACAACAATATCTCTAAGGTTGCCCAGCAGCATCTTCCCAAAATAAATCTAATGTCTCGTGCCTATCCCTACAAAGATGATATGCAATCAACTCAACCTTGACTTTTGTAGGGCCTTTGTCACAGCCTAGATGGAAGATCAAGAAGCACCTAGATGTGATTATTACTCCCTCTGTTCCAGTTTATGTGAACCTATTTCCTTTTTGGTCCGTTCCAAAAAGAATGAACCCTTTCTAAATTTGGTAACAATTTAGCTTAAAGTTACAACTCTACCCTTAATGAAAAGCTTTTATAACCACACNCTATGAGTTCGTTGAGTTTGTACCCCACTTATATGAATGGGAGTATGAATTCAGGAAAAGCTTCTGAATATACCTCATTATAAATGTTCATAATATCTGAATGAAGAGAAGCAACTTCCATTGCTTGATATTCTAGTCTGTCCCTTTCTTCAATTAGTGAACGATAAAGTAATCCCTTCTGCTCCTGCTGCTTGTCCGGTGTCAATTTGTTCACCCATAATACTGCTCGGTCAATTATTCTTTCATCAAAGCCCATTGATTTTGCAATATTTAAGGCATTCGATTCTCCCTTGCTTCCCCAAAGAATCCGATAGGTAGGCTGTAGAGTCTCCAAGGAAAACTCTGTTGCTGCAGTTTCAAACCTATTGTCCTTTTCTTTTAAGCGAGTTAGATCTGCATAGTGGGTAGTTATAACAGCTAAATTAACCCTGTCCTTGAGATATTGCAGAATGCTTTCTGAAAGTGCTACACCTTCTGAAGGATCGGTCCCGCTTCCGATTTCATCAATAAGAACTAAAGATTCTCTAGAAGCGACTTCCAGAATCTCACGAAGCCGTGAAATGTGCCCACTAAAGGTTGACAGACTTTGTTCCAGAGACTTCAGTAGGCAAAATAAAAAAGTTCAATTTTGGCGCGAAAGAAAAAAACAAGACAATGAAGAAGGAAAGGAAATTTCAAATGGGTTAAATTGAAAAAATAATGCAGCAGAGATGGGTGATAGAGGGAAGATGGGAGTATAGCAAAACCAAGTACCTGCTGGTCTCCTATGTCTGCCAGAATGAGATCAAACCATGGAAGCCGTGGTTGATTTTGGGCAGGCAAATACATACCGGCTTTCAACATCATAGAAGCCAGTCCTAGAGTCTTCATTGAAGCCGTTTTCCCTCCAGTATTAGGGCCCGAGATGACAACAACCTTTGTTCCATGACCAACTTTAATATCGATGGGCACAGGGAAACGTGCACGAGATTTTGTTTTAAAATTCATGACACCATTTCCCTGATCCAAATCAGGCGACCTTGGGGACACATCAGTGGACAAGTTTCTCAAAGAGGACTCAAGAAGCAATGGATGCCGTATCCCTTCTACATCTATAGATAAAAGTTCAGATTGGGAATTGTTACAATTTCTTGAACTTAAAGCTGGACAGGCACCACCTATCCACTGAGCATGAGCAGCTCTTGCAAATGCAAGATCAATTTCTAATATTCTATCTAATAAGTGTTTTATTTTCATATTAGATTCAGCTATTTCAGATGTAAGCAAACTCAAAATTGTTTGCTCCTCAATCCTCTCAGAACTGGAAAGCTTAACTTCCATGTTGTTCAACTCAACTGCCTCTTTAGGTTCCATGAAGTATGTAGATCCACTACTGCTCGTATCTAGGATTACGGCATTAGGAAGCAAAGATCTATGGGAAGCTCTGACAGCAACACACATTCTTGAACGGCGCTTGGTTACTAAAGGTCTGTCAAATCCCCCACCCTGAAAAACTTGAGTTGATAATTGCTTCAACAATGATTCTAGATTTTCCATGTTCCGTTTTCTCTCAGACCTTATAATTTCCAAATCTTCACTAGCTCTGTCAAGGATTGCTGAAAAGCTGCAATCAATACAGAATTCTATTTTTTGCTCCAATTCCACAAGAAAATCACAATTGTGAAGAATTTCCTTCAGAGGAGAGTACCTGTTTGAACATAATTAGACATTCTAATGAAACTGCTCAATACTATTTAAATGGCACTTCATGAGAATCCATCACTACCACATGAGACAAGCTTCGCCATTTTGAGTTAACTGCAATTGGGAGTAGGAAGGCATTCTCAGAAGGCATAGAAATAAAGGGCAAGCACACTCTAGGTGAATTCATCTTTGGATTTAACTTTATTAGAACTCATATTCATAATCAAGAAATTTTTGGGTTTCAAACATCATTTAAAAAAAGGAAAAAAATGAACCACCAATACAAAAGGAAAGAACTTTTCGTTTACTTTAATATCCGAAATTCAATGGTCCGACTAATTCGAATTTTCATTAAGGAGGAGTGAAACACTCCTTCCAAAAAGATTCTCAATTTTCAGACGAGACTTTTAATTAAGAGCGAAAAGATATCATGCAATGATGTAAGAAAAATGAGCCAAAAAAATCAAAAAAAAAATTCCGTATGTCAATAGTTAAGTGGAGTATCAAATACAGCAATACACCTGTCAGAAAAATCATTCAGCGAAGCAATTTCCTCCAACTGTTGGAGCAAAAGCCTCGCCGCTCCCAAGGTCCGTTTCACAGAGCAAAGCTCACGAATTGAGAGTACTCCGCCGGCAATGGAAGCATTAACAATAGGGGAAACATCCTCAATTCCGGAGAAATCCAACGGCCGAGGAACTGCCACGGCGGCGGAGGTCTGAGAGAGGAGTTTCCCGCTCTCTTCAGGAGTTTTACCCACCGGAATCACAGCAGATTGTGCGGCAGCGAAGCCCATGGATGTGGAAGTGAAGGCGGAGAGCTGGCCACAGACGGCGGGCCATTCTAGAAGCTTCAGGGTCTCGGATTGGAGTGACTCGGCGAGTTTGACTCTGTGAGTTGACTCGGATGAGAAGCGGACGGAGGACCGAGTTGCACGAGGGTTGTAGAGCGAGGTGTGACGTGGAGGAAGATGATTGGTGAAGAGAGTGTTGTTGAATTTGCAGTTGAAGAGGTTCATTGAAGATTGAGTTCTGAATTATTTTTTTCGCTGAGTTGTGTGTGTTGTGTTATCCAGTTACTCTAAAATGGAGGGAAGGGTAGGTTTGGATCTTCTGTGTTTGGATACACAACGGTACTGTGAGTTGTCAATTTTTCTTTTTTCCCGTAGGCTTCTTATTTCTTTTTTTGTTTTTCTTTTTAATATCTTGTGTACAAGTTGGCGCATGAATGGAAAAACACCTAGGGGTCTTTTTGGTAGGGTTTACAGAATAATGTTGAATAAGGTGTATTAGTAATGCAATGATTAGTAATATATGGGTTAGTAATACAAGCATTAATTATGCAGAGATTATTTCTTATCACTGTTTGGTATGGTGTATTGAAAATTAAAATGCATTGTATAATATTTAAGAAAATTAGTTGTTTACAAAAATGTCCTCCATATTATTTAGCTTTAAGAGACTTTAAGGACAATTTTGTCTTTAACCATGCTAATGCATGCATTAATAGTTTTGGTATTGCTAATACTATGGTTTTGTTATGTATTAATTATACATAGGATAATACCAAATAAGTTGTATAACTAATACTTGCATTAGTTATACATAAATTAAAAAAATGTACCAAACAAGGGATTAATAATACCGAAAGTTAATGCATGCATTATTTTCTCTAATGCACCCTACCAAATGACCCCTTATTCAACTTAGTTGTTTACATTAAATTATATGTCTGTGTTGATACTAAGTCTAAGAAGAAATGAAATAAGAAATAAACACAATAAGTGTAAGGAATCACCAATTGTTTGCTAGATCACAAGTTTTTTTCTTTGCCTACTTTGCTTTCAGTTAGCTAGCCTGCTATGTCTTTGCCAGCTTTGCTTTTAGTTAGCCAGCCTGCTATTGCTTCCTCTTTGTCAATCTTTATTGAGAATATGCCAACAAAAATTTTTGCTGTTCTGTTGGTTCTGAAATAAAGCACTGAAAGGTCTTTCTTTCGGTTTGTAAATGTATTATGATCAAATTTTGATTACATCTTCTACTTATCGAGTTGCTACGCTTCTAACAAAACTCATGTGGTCGCTAAAATTGCAAAAATGTGTGGAATTTTGGATCGTGACATTATTTCTGCCGTTAGTGCTTTCCAACAACATAAGGCAGTCTCTTGATCGTGCATCATAGGGAATGCCAAAATAATAATAATAATAATAATAATATACGAGGAACGTCCCTATGTTGGACAAGTGATTCACCATAATATGTTTTTCTATTTCCTAGCATGACAGTTGCTATTATAATTCTATCATGGATGATAACGCCAATGGTAAGAATGCAAGATATTTCCTTAGACAATGTAGCATTATTTGGACTATGGTTATCAACAAATATTGTCACGTTAATACCATTCTGAATCGCAACCAAAGCACCAGTAGAAATATATATAATCATCATAAAAGAATTTCACATTAGTAAATAATTAGTTATCTCTGTCAAGTGACTTTGATTTTCTTTCCTATTTAATTGGAATCTACTAAACTAAATTTTATAGTAGCATTATGCACATATTATCATTACAAAAATAATTTACGCAAAAATAATACATTACCCTAGCAGTGTTTTCACATGGAAAAATATGCACATAACATGCACATGACTCACTTGTTAACTTCTTTAAGGACTAAAATCTCATATTTACATTATAGTTGTGTAAAAACCCCATCAAGTAACATTAATCTCTCTAGTATGCATCTAAATTCTCTTATTTAAATATTCGTAATAAGATTATTTACTTTGAAATATATCCATGCCCTGTTCGTGGAGGATGAGTTAATGTATGTTTAATTTTTTTTTAGCTTGTGCTAAATTAGTTGCTGGAAAATATAAGTGTTCAAGGTTAGTATTATCCAACTAACCATTATTAGCATTTGCTATGTTGTGAAATAGGAAATATCAGAATATATAGTTTTAAATCTTTTGTGCTTCATATTGCATGAAACACTTAAACAAGTTACAATCTTGCAGGTGATTCCCATTATATTAAGTGAGATCAATGTTGGAAAGGCACCAAAGTGGATTTCCTTTGCTTATAATTCCATGGTGCTACGGGGAAATGCTAGTACGAAAGTAGTAGACATGGCAGAATCTCACAACTTCCGTTATAGTTGGAGATGGTCCTTTGCCAGTAGTGGGTTCCTGGCTTTGCCACTTCTTGTACTGTCTTTCTTTCTTTCTTAGTGAAACCCCGAGGTTTATCATTAAGCAAGGGAGTATGGAAAAGGCAAAAGCATCTCTTAAGATGTTGAGAAAATGTGGAGCAGAAGTAAAGTTGCAGATATTGGCAGTCATGATGGAAAATGAAGGCAAGAGGAAAAGGAAGAAACTGTCACACTTACCCCTTTAACTGCTTAATATAGTGGCTCAAAAATTTTCAGAAAGTGTTTGGCTTAGACTCAATACTATTCTCTGGACCATTATTTCTGCAGTCAACTAGATACACCTATAATGCCTCCTTCATCGCTTCGCTCATTGTAGGAGTTATTCGAGCTGGAGTTGTTGGACTCACTTATCTGAGTTACAGCTTTTTCAGCTGACGGAAGACTCTAGTCTCGGCATGTTTAGGTGTGATTTTAGCATATGTACTTCTTCATTTCTTTCTTATTTAGGTTTTCTTTATATAGATCAATTTTAATTAACTGAAATAAAGCATACGTAACTTGATATCACTCTTCTCGGATTTTTTTAGGTTTCCTTGTTGGGTCTCTTCCTTTTGGTAGGAGACCATATCTTTCAACTGAGCCAAAAGAGTGCCTATGTTGGAATGTCATTTGTCTTCCCTTCATAGGCTGCTATTCAATGTTCTCGGGGCCTTCTAAGTGGACTGAATAATCTTACGTCGAAAAGATTAAAGCGTTAGGCGTATGCAGGGAGACGAGCATATCTTTGTTCATGTCCCTAATCATGAATCCATCCATTTGGTGCACCTTCTTGCTCTCAAAGCTTGGATATACATATTATTTGCTGCTCTGACATTGAGAATGTGCTTCTTAATTTATAAATTTTTGCCCGAGATAAAAAAGAAAGATGGAGAAGGAGTTGAGGAAGATCTCTTCAAACAACATTAGTTTTGGAAGAGGTTTCTTCCAAAAGATGTCAAAGATGAAGCCATGTAGCTGTGAGTTATTATTTTTTATAAAACTATAATTAACATTGATTGTTCTTATGTATTCTTGAGATTTTGGGTATATGTTCTTTTCTATGATGGCAGCAGCACTCAACCTATGTGGTAGATCATGAGCTTAATTCTGCAAATTAACGAACTGATGAGTTTAGGGAGGTTTCAGGTAACACATTGCTACGGGAAAGAAAAGTTTTAGTTGATTACCTTGCTAATGTAGGCGTAGTTGAAAGACATGAGATACTTCATCACTGAGGCTCTCTCTCTTTGCCAGTGCAAGCCAAATCCTTACTGAAAAATGATAGAAATAGTTATCAAGTGACTTTGATTTTCTTTCCTATTTAATTGAATCTACTAAATTAAATTTTATACTAGCATTATACACATATTATTGTTATTAAAATAATTTACACAAAAATAATACCTCACCCTAGCAATGCTTTCACATGAAAAAAGATGCATGCAACATGCACATGACTCATTTCTCAACTTCTTTAAGGACTAAAATCTCATATTTACTTTATTGTTGTGAAAAAGCTCATCAAGTAACATTAAACTCTCTAATATGCACATAAATTCTCTTATTATAATATTCGTAATAAGATTTATTTGCTTAAAATATATCTATGCCTTGATCGTGGAGGATGAGTTAATATAGGTTTAATCTTTTCTCATTTGGCTTGTGCCAAATTAGTTGCTGTAAATATGAGTGTTCGAGGTTAGTATTATCCAACTAGCCATTACTATCATTTGCAATGTTGTGAAATAGGAAATATCAAAATATATAGTTTGTGCTTCATATTGCATGACACACTTAAATAAATTTTAATTTTGCAGGTGATTTTCATTATATGGAGTGAGATCAATGTTGGAAATGCACCAAAGTGGATTTCCTTTACTTATAACTCCACTGTGCTATGGGAAAGTACTAGCACTAAAGTAGTGGACATGCCACAACCTCACAACTTCCGTTATGGTTGGAGTGGTCCTTTGCTAGTAGTGGATTTTTGGCTTTGCCACTTCTTGTATTATGTTTCTTTTTTTAGTAAGACCCCAAGGTTTCTCATTAAGAAAGGGAGTATGGAGGAGGCAAAAGCATCTCTTAAGATGTTGTGGAAATGTGGAGCAGAAGTAAAGCTGCAGATGTTGGCAGACATGATGGAAAATGAAGGCAAGAGGAAAAGGAAAAAACTGTCGCACTCGCCCTTTTACTTCTTAATATAGTGGTGCAAATTTTCCAACAAGTGTTGGGCTTAGACTCAATACTATTCTTTGGACCATTACTTCTGCAGTCAGCTACATACACCTATAATGCCTCCATCGTCGCTCCGCTTATTGCCGGAGTTGTTCGAGCTGGAGTTGTTGGGCTCATTTATCCAAGTTACAACTTCTTCGACCGACGGAGGACTCTAGTCTCGGCATGTTTAGGCATGATTTTAGCACAGGTACTTCTTCATTTCCTTCTTATTTAGTTTTTTTTATATAGATCAAGTTTAGTTAACTGAAATATAGCATACGTAACTTGATATCACTCTTCTCGAATTTTTTCAGGTTTCCTTGTTAGGTCTCTTCCGTTTGGTAGGAGACCATATCTTTCAACTGAGCCAAAAGAGTGCCTATGTTGGCATGGAATTTGTCATCCCCCTCATAGGCTGCTATTCAATGTTCTTGAGGCCTTCTTAGTGGACTGAAAAATCTTACGCCAAAGAGATTGAATTGTTAGGTGCATGCTGGGAGACGAGCATATCGTTGCTCATGTCCCTAATCATGTATCCATCCGTTTCGATGCACATTCTTGTTCTCAAGGCTTGGATATACATGATATTTGCTGCTCTGACATTGGGAATGTGTTTCTCAATTTATAAATTTTTGTCCGAAAGAGAAAGAAAGATGGCGAAGGAGTTAAGGAAGATCTCTTCAAACGACATTGGTTTTGGATTTCTTCCAAAA